ACACACACAACACACACACACACAACACACACACACACAACACACACACACACAAAACACACACACACACACAGACAGACACACACACACACACACGCACACACACAACACACACACACACACACGACACGCACACTCGCCCATGAAGCGCCCTGCAGCCCCAAGACCTAAATCCAAAGCTAAAAACCCCTCAACCTCCATACTCAATCCGAAACCCTAAAGCCACAAACTCGAAGGCCCAAAACTTACACAACACAATCCCCAACTGAAAGGCTCCAAAGGAGCCAAATGGTGAGGTTGGCGGGCCCGCCCTGCTCCAGCAGCTGGCTGGAGTGATTGACTACCTCGTATTTTCGAGAAGCCCTAGTAATCATGGCAATAGCGAAAGTAACAATAATACTATCCATCTTTGGTTTTTTTCGTGAACAAAGTTAACTGTAATTATTCCTATCGTCATCAGTATCATTATTATTGCTATTGTCAGCATTATTTCCATTATTGCCATCATTATTGGTACTTGGATGGGTTCTCTCTGACTCAGCCAATGCTTCTGCAAGGGCTTCTTTGAGGCTGTTGACAGGGTTCTACAAAGGTTTAGGGCTTGAGGTGGCTCTCAGGATCGTAGGATTTGGCCCTTCTGGGATGTGGTTTCAGGCTTGGGCGCTTTCGGGTTTGCTTGAGGGCTGAGGATGTGCCGGGCCATCACCAGTATGCAAGCTCTGTTTGAGGAAAGGCTACTATCGCATCCCTGCAAGTAGGCAGAGCTGAGGCGCAGCTTGCGGCAAGAACAGAGTCGGGGTTCCGGTGTCCATGGTGCACTGGCCAATCGCCCTCCCAGTGCAGTTGAAGCCGACAAACTCCGCATCACCCACGGAGATCCGCTGAATGTTGACATCAAACCAGCCGAACTCTCCAAAGGCAACAGGGCCCACAACGGATTCGGCGTCGTAGTGCTCGTTTACGGCATCCTCATCGATGTAGAGCCTCGCCTGCTCCTCACCGACGACTCCGGACCAGTAGATGCCCAGCATCTCCTTATGCCCAGAAACATGCCACTTAGGTGAGACTTAGGGCCTGGGGGTGATGCTTAAGTTCAGGTGGTACTACCATGCGGCGCTGACATTCTCACCGCACGACAACTATGCCTATGCGCTGCATCCTTGCAAGCATAGTGCCCCTAGTGCTTCTGTTCGGACCATCACCATGACGATTAGCATGATGATGATGATGATGATGAGGGTGATGATGAGGCGACAGCGACGAGGCTGAGGATGAGACTGAGGATTCTGATGGTGACGATGATGATGAGGCTAAGGGGAACGGAACGCACACCGGCAAGCGTGATGGCCCGCATTCTGGTGATGACGGTTTTTGATGACCATGATGCTGCTCGTGGTAATGATGGTATTGATATCGTTGTTGTTGTTGTTGGTGGTGGTGGTGGTGGTGATCATGATGAACCGAAATATCGGCTCATGAGGTCCGCTTTAAACCTTCAGCGCCAACTAACTGTTTGCATTCAGAAACCCTGAGCCCCTAAGCCTTTGCCCTATTGTTTAATGCTAAGCCCCAAGACCCTAAACCTTAAACCCTAAACCCTTAAACCCTAAACCCTAAACCCTTAAACCCTAAACCCTAAAAACCCCCAAAATCTAAACTCTCCAACCCTCAACGACGGTCAAACTCCAGCAAAGCTTCCACGCCGCCCGAAGCCTCGGTTGCATGGGAAGCTCGAAAAAAGCCAACGTTCGTGCGGTTTAGGGTTTAGGGTTTAGGGTTCACCGACACAAAGGTGAGTTGGGACTCCTCAAAAAAACTCCGGGTGAAGAGCAGGGGCTGAGCATCCAAGAAGCCCGGAGCTGATGCAGCAGCGGTGGCGGCAAAAACGTCTCGTTCTTGATGGGGCACGATGCTGTGTCGTTCCAGTTCGAGAAAGACTCGACAGGCACGCCAGCCTGGATATGTGGGAACTTGAGTGCTCCTTACCTTTCCTTGCTACTACTGTTGATGATCTATATCCTGCATGGCCTTAAGGACCCTAAACTATGGGGTTTATGGTATATTCCTTACTATGGGTAGTGCAAGATTTATATCATCAACCGTACCAATGGGTATTGCCATGGTTGCTACTCCACGAAATCCAACTTTCCCGACACGAGTTGCCGGTCTTGGCCCAGGGGTTGCTCTGGCGATTACGCCAATGATTACGCCTTTCAGAATCATATGTTTTCATGAAAGGAAACTACAGGTGGGGAGGTTGGGGTATATAGGGCTTCTATAAGGCTTCGATCAGGTATACAGACCTTCTATAAGGCTCCTATAATAACGGTAACTACCCACCTGAAAATGTCCTAGATATGTGCCTGTCATCCTTGCAGACGAGCCGGGCTACCCTTCTCTGTATGACTGTATGACTCCGAGTCTATCGGAGAACCTCCGCACGGAAGCCACGAAGCTGAACTTCCTCTAAACCCTAAAACCCAAAACCTAAAACCCTAAAGCCCTAAAACCCTAAACCCCTAAACCCTAAAACTCAAAACCTAAAACCCTAAAGCCCTAAAACCCTAAACCCCTAAACCCTAAAACCCTAAAACCCTAAAGCCCTAAAGCCCTAAAACCCTAAAACCTAAACCCTACAACCCTAAAACCTAAACCCTAAAACCTAAACCCTAATACTAGAGCATGCTCGAAAGTCTGCTCCAGAGGCTTTTTTGTTGCACGCAACATTTAGAAGCTAGGGGTTTTGGTGGTTTTAGGGGTTTTAGGGTTTAGGGGTTTATGGTTTAGGTGGGTTTAGGGTTTAGGGTTTGGGGTTTAGGGGCTTTAGGGATTTTAGGGTTTAGGGGTTTAATATAAGGGTTTTTAGGGTTTAGGGTTTGGGGGTTTACGGGTTCGGGGTCTAGGGTTTAGGGCAATCTTCTCTTCAATGGATTTTCATATCTGACCCTGGTTGTTTGGAACCGAAGAATGTCACATGTGACAGTCCTGTGGCTGTTCGGAGGTTAGCTCACTACGCACTTTTCAACCTCTGTCGTCGACCCCCGTTGAAGAGTCCTGCTTGATGGGTCTTTGGTGCGACATCTATGTGTCCTATTATTGTACGACTAGGTCTGTGCCTTTGATTTACGAACCGTGCAGTCCCTAAGGCCTAAATACCCTCAACCCCAAAGCCGTGAAGCCTAAACCCGAAAACCCTGAACCCTTGCGAGCTAATGCAGCTTGCAGCCGGAACATCGATCTTCCAGGCTTCATAATTAAGCAAAGGGAACGCCAACGGCTCTGACGAACGCACTTCTCACGAACAAGGTCCCTAAACACAGCCCGGTCAGTCGCCCCCCGGAGGTGAAGAGTCTTCGATTGCAATTCAGGATCTAAACAAGTGTAATTTCGGGGGGCCTTCATACGTAGAATAGTGGGGTATCGTATAGTACAACAATCGAGGGGCCAACGGGAAAAACCATTGCCACTCAATTTTTCCGCCCCCCTATAGCAGCTACATCTTTGCCAGGTGGCATCAAGCTGCTGGAAAGCAATGCCGAAGATCCCTTCAACGCCATCACTGCAGGGCATACCGACCTCCAGAGGGGTTGGGGTCGCTTCTTCAAGGGTTGCTTGAGGGCTCTCTGTAGGGGTGCTAAGGATCAGGAACTTTTGGGCGGTTTGAGGGTTTAGGGCTTGGGGTCTTGGGGCTTTCGGCGGGTTTAGGATCAAGAGAAGGATGTCCTTTGTTCGGGGGTTTGAGGGGCCTTATAGCTCTTATCAGGCTATCTCAGGCCTGGTTTGCCATGACGCTGTAGGTGGAGTTGCGCATGGATAGGTTGCCAGCGGTGAGATCGCCGACGACGAAAGGCCCCCAATACCCTGTGTAGTTGCCACCTCAGAGACAACGAAGCTACAATTAGGGTTCAGGGTTTCGGGTTTAGGGTTTAGGGTTCAGGGTTTGGGGTTCAGGGTTTAGGGTTTAGGGGTTAGGGGTTTGGGGTTTGGGGTTTCGGGTACAAGCTGGGGCCAGTCATGTAGGACACAGAGTCATGTGCCTCAACGCAAAGCCACATACAAAGAAAGGACATGCCAAAGCCGCAATCACAGTTTCATTACCAACTGACGGCCATGGTCACCCATGAACCACAATTCAGAAGACGAACTACAAGAATCAAGCACACTTACAGTATGGACGACCTAGACCCGAAGAACTAGGACGCTTCCAAAGAGTTCCCACGGTCATGAACAACAGCAAGGGTTTAGGGTTTAGGGATGAGCAACAACAAGTATCAACATGAAGGCAGGGACACTCAGCACATCTAACTGGCAACCATAAGGACAGGCAGAGTCTGGCAAAGTTAACACATTAGTCGCAAGATGCTAGTGCAATTGTTGAACAGGCATCTGCGTCGGAACAAGGAGGACGTAGGAGACACTGAAGCAAGCTCACACTATACATGATCATCAACGATTCCAGAAAATACACAACTAGAAGCCAAAAAACGGCTTGACCATCACCAGCGGATCAAAAGACAAGGTGTGCAACCACTCCGTAGCAAAAGCTGAATGACTGCCACAGTCTTGCCCAAGCAACAGCGAACACATCGAAAGTGGGGCAGCCTAAACCCTAAACCCTAAACCCCTAAACCCTAAACCCTGGATTCCTAGAGCAAGCCACAAGTCATGACGCTGTTCAAACGCGAAAAATCATGGCACTAGCACCGAGATATGTCAAACCGAACACCACGTCCCCTTCTTGATGAAAAAGCGATCAGTGATGATGATGATGATGATACTGATGATGGTGACGATGATTGCAACCATCGCAGAGCAAACAATAAATCAGCGTTGACAAGGCCGCCAGCCATGCTGACAGCAGTAGTGCTCCTAAAACACACAACACCAGGCACGATGAGAGCCTATAGGCTTCGCAGCAACCACATCTAACCTGGCAATACCCAGAAATCCTCAGCAGCCACAGAAAGCATCATGCGAATCGTAAGCCCTACCTGTAACCGAAAGACCTACCTTTTTGAGAAACTATATCTAGAAACCATAATAAGGAACTTTTAAAATGGTAGGTCATTTCGGTTACAGGTAGACTTTGCAGTAGAAGCCGGGCGGCCAGGGTTGTAGGCATTGCAGGACACATAGTCCGTCATCTCGTAAATCGTTTGCTGGAGAAGTCCTCTGGGTTCTTGTTAAGGGAGGTTATTTAAGTTACCATAATAAGGAAACCATATTATTTCCTATAGATCCCCATTATGGTAACTTAAATAAAACCCCCCAACAAGAACCCAGTCCTTGCTCACAGAATGCCAGCGTGGAAGATCCGGTGTCCAGCAAAAGTCTCTGGGAAGCCACCTGGGTTTTTAGGGTCTTAGGGCTTTTTAGGGTTTAGGGTTTAGGGTCTTAGGGGTTTAGGGGTTTAGGGTTTAGGGTTTAGGGTTTACGGCTTCCGACTTGTGCTCTTGTGCGTTTGTGCCGTGGATCTGTATCAGGTAGCAATCAGCCTGTAAACAACATTCTATACAAAAGGCCATGCAAGCAAAATGTACTACGCGGTATTACGTGTTGTGCTTTTTTTGAAGTTGCAGCATCTATGTCTATGTCTGGATCTATAACCAATGAATATTATCAATAAATAAACAAACGAACAGATAAATAAATAAATATATATATATATAGATATTCTGGATATTGGATAAAGTTCTTCTGAGCCCAAGGACCTCTTTGCCGGTCGAAGCTTCGGGCGTGACATCCACGAGCAGCCTGGGGCCCCCCCAAAACGTTGCGTGCAGCGGCACTGACAAAGAAGCCGTGGCTGTGAAGGCCGATGCCAAAGCAGCGAGCTGTACATTTCGCATGGCAGCCTGCATGATTAGAATTTCAGCGGCTTGGCTGAAACCGCTGTGCAACCTGGGGCCTACTTTGCTGTCGCTTGGGCCTGCGTGAGCGGAGGCTTCGACTGAGAAGGCCCCTCAATAACCAGGAATGCAGGCATGCGGATTAGCAAGAACCTGCAGAATTGGCTCTGCTGTAACCGTGACCAAAAGCACCGTCCACGGAGTGCAGGTAGCGCACGATGCTTGCTTGCAGCGACTGCTCTAGAACAGGGAGAACCCCTTTCCCACGTTCGAACCAAACAACTGGGAGTTACCCGTTTACCACCATAACACGGACCTCCAAAGTTGATCACAAAGATCACACCCACGGAATCATTTCACACCTGCAAAGGCCGCAGGAACGAGTTGCAAGTGCTTCTCGTCGAGCCTCCCAGGAGCGCAGCGTGTCTTCCACAACCTGGCTTCAGGGGCTTCAGGGGTTTTTTTTAGCATGAGGAGGGAGTTGTCTCTTTAATAGCCTGAGGGCTCTTCTGTCGCAGCGTTGGATGTATTGGTTGCTTCATGATCTGGGGTCGTTTAGGTTCGAACCGGAAGCCCCGAACGATGCTATACTATCAACCTATTCGAGAACGCACAGAACCAAGCTACAGTACCAAATGCCCTAAACCCTAAACCCTAAACCCTAACCCCTAAACCCTGTGTTTTAGCCTTTTCTACATGCCTTCTGCGGGGAACACCGACTCTGGAGGCTGTGTTTGCGCGCGTGCGGCTGCGTTGTAAAAGGGCTCAGGGACGTTTGGGTGTAGGACATTTTCAGGTGGGTAGTTACCGTGAATAGGAGCCTTATAGAAGGTCTATATACCTTAGAGGAGCCTTTTAGAAGCCCCATAAAACCTAAACTCCCCACCTGTAGTTTCCTTTAATTGGGGGTTAGAACGGAAGCCTTTCCTCTGCGGCCTCTCAGACCGGACGGTCCTACAACCTCATAGTACTTTTTGGTCCTTAATAACTTTGTGGGGGGGGGGGGGGTATCTATGCTCGAATTCTAGCACGGAACCACCCAAAATAGTGTTGGTAATTCTTTAGGCCCCCTGTTTTTGAGCCCCAATGCAGGAACCACAAGGCTTCTGACGGTTTGCTTGCTCCCATTTCGCCTCCAGGCTTCAAGGAATGCGAATTGAGCCTTGCCCGGCCGCTTCACATCCGGTGCTGATGCGAAAGAATATCATGTAGGGGCATGAATAGTTAGAAGAGTAGGGCCCCTAGATTACCCTTCAAGCCCCTCGCTACAACTAGCCTCCCAGGGCTCCCATTATTGCAGGAGCCCTGATCATTCGAGAAGGGTTTCGGGGAGTAGTTCTCCTTTAAATATACTCGGGATCACAAAAAAAGTCACTAGATATCCCGCCCCCCCACCCTAAACCCTAAACCTTAAACCCTAAACCCACATGATCCTTTGGGACCTGTTGGGTGCCCTCCCAGCGCACGGAGAAGCGTCGGGGTCGAGATTCCTTAGGAACTCGGCTCGGAGGTCGGTCGAAAATTGACAAAGGGTTCCATGTATTACGGGTTCCTTTAAGGGTTCTACAGGGTTTAGGGTTTAAGGGCTCATTTGAGGAGTGTCTTCCAGAATCCGATTGCAGAGCCCCAGCAACCTTTGACGCCCAAAAGGGGGCCAACAGGATCCATCATGGGCACCCAGTTTTGCCAACCAAGACAGAAGGAACCACGGTTTGGGGTTTAGGGCCCTAAACGCTGAACTTTACACCTGCCCTCGAAAAGATAGAAAACTACATCGAGCAGGAAGAGTATTGGCCGTAAAAACCATCCTTGTAACAAGAACCAGACCCCTTCAACAAAAACTTGCCAACATCGTCATACGAATAGTCGGGTCGTTACAATGGCAGCGACACAAGTACCAGTGACAGCATCAATCATAGCGGCAATGTTGGAAAACCGTGATCAATGTCATGCTGCAACTGGCTCATGCTGCCGAGTTGCCAAGAAAGACGCCAACTCTTGCAGGTTCTTAAAGTGCGTCATGCACACCTGCAGCCGCAGCATGCTTTCTGCGGATTTGCAGCTACACTGTGGTTTTCATTGGAGTTTTAGCACCAAGTCAGGGTGCTACATGCACAGCCGTGAGGTTGCCTCTGCTCGTTTCCGCTTGCAGGCCGTTCTAGATCGGGTCCAGGAAGGTTGAACGCGCAACGCGTCTTTACCTCCAACGCATCTGGATCCTGCTGCAAAGATGACGACAAGGCTCCGACCAGGAATCCCCCGAATTCCAACAAAGTCTTACTCTCACCTGCATCAAAGCTTCGGGCTTCAAGCCTGAGCATCCGGGAAAGACAGGAGAAGCCTAAACCCCTAAACCCTGAGCCTAAACTCCTAAACCCGAAATCCCTAAACCCTAAACCCCTAAAACCCTAAACCTTGTCTTTTGGGGTCCGGAGCCTCGAGTCGCGGCAGCCCAGGGTCACAACGTAACTGAAGTCCCAGCGACGACCGCAAGCCCCAAGCCCCGGCCCCAAAGTCTGAATGCAAACCCTAAACCTTAAACCCCAAAACCGTAAACCCTAGACCCCGAAGCCACGGCCCACCTCCTCCCATTCCATCTCCCCGAGAGGGACGGAGCCCCCCTTCGCCCACAAAAGATGGCTGAGCTCCTCCTCAAGGCTCGGGGCCTGCAAAGCATTAGGGTCAGGGATTAGGGTTTTACCTAGGGTTTTGGGTTTAGGGTCTATAGGGCTAGGGGTTAGCTAGGGTTTAGGTTTAGGGTTTGGGGTTTGAGGTTTGTGGTTTGAGGTTAGCTCCTCTTCAAACCTCGGAGCCTGCAGGGGCATTGGGATTCCCACCCAGAAAGCTGGGAAAGTCGCTTTCTTGTCGCCTGCATCACGACTACACCTGAAGGTTGCCTGAGCTTGCTGATTCCTCTAGCTCTAGATAAAAGGAAACTACAGGTGGGGAGTTTAGGCGTATATAGGGCTTCTGTAAGGCTTCTATAAGGTATATAGACCTTCTATAAGGCTCCTAAAACGGTAACTGCCCACCTGAAAATGTCCTAGACTAGATAGACCTTTCCATGTAGCAATGACTCCCAAAACGAAGCCTAGCATTTCAAGCCATCTCCCCCGCATCCTGTTCACATCGAGCCATCCCAGCAAATTTCTGGACTGCGCGGAGCTTTCCCAACTGTCGAGGTTGGACGTGGATGTCGTGAACAAACGTAGAAGCAATGAAAAGAAGTGTAGTAGCAGTAGCAACCGGAACTGCAGAAGCAGCAAGCCCACAAGGACAAAACGGGAAAAGGTAGCAAATCCAAGAGCAGTGCAAGCAAATCGATCCATGGACAGCACATGCACCTGCGTGGGTTACATTGCACTTCGAGTTTGCAACTACAGCTTGTTACAAACAGCATCACTACAAAACCGAAGTTGCACATCCTTAGTAAATCTGGGTGGTTTTCTTGAAGAGCGAGGTGTGGCAGCGAGGGTTTTACTCAAATCTCCCGTCCGCTCAGTTGCCTCAATCGTGGAGTCGTCGGCATTCGAGGCGATGTCCACCCTGGAAAGCATACTGTAGGGGCCTAAATAATTTCCAACACTATTTTGGGGGTTCCTTATTATAATTCTAGAATAATGGGCCCCAAAACCCTGTTCTAATTCTGAAGACCCCTTTACTACACTCACACGCTCCACCCCGGGAACAAATGGCTTCAGTATCGCGGCCGAACCCGGAACAAGGAAGACTTTTCAACAGATGTAACATGTTCGACACGAAGGGCCGTTAGACAGTGGACATCTCCGAAGCTTGCTTGCTGGTCTAGCATAAGCGCCGGGCGAGCTGCTGTAGTGTAGTTAACAGGCTTTGGTTGCAGTAAATATGCCTTCGCCACCGTACGCCACAAACCCGAAACCCTAGGCCTAGACCCAATCCATGTCGTGCGAACGACGATTCGGTGAGCTGAACATATGGAGGTGATGGAGGAGTCAGGGCCGAGATTCAAACCCCTAGCTCAGCTCCGGGCTTTAGGTCAAGACTTAAGGGAAGGCGCCCATGGTTCCGAAATGAAGATGCACGGCCAGTTTAGTAGGGCCGAAAGCTTGGATTCTGGCAGGTGTGGTCCATCGCGAAAGTGCAGATGCATCCCACGGGCACGAGCGATTTCGGGGTTTCAGAAGATCCGGGACCTCAAGACGGCTATGATTTTGACAACCCTGACACACACACAAGGCTACTTCCCCAAAAAAAAGAACATCGAGCTCCTTTTTTAAAGAACTGCCAGAGAACGGCCTCTGGGGCTGTTGGAAGCCGGTTGTACCCGAACAGTCGGCGAGGGAGACCAGATAATCGGACTCCCTCAGTGTCAGGCATCAAAAAGGGCTTTAGGGTTTAGGGTTTAGGGTTTGGACTCCCTCAGTGTCAGGTTTTTTGAAGTGCTTGGGGTTTCAGGGTTCGGGGGCTTTCTGGGGGTTTCCGAAAATAGGGGACCCTAATATGGTACCCAAAATAGTAGGATCCTTATAAAAAGGACCCCAAAATAAGGTACCCCTAATTTTCGGAAAGCCCCATATCTAGCCTACAGAGAAAAAAATGCTGAATGCTCTCGGCTGGGCTTTGGATCGAGTCAATCCGGGCAGAGCTTCGGTTCAAGGCAGGGTGTTTAGGGCTCTAGGGTTTCGGAATGTTGGCTTGCAAAGTTCAGGTTTAGGTCGACCCTTTTTCGGGGGGCGATGGCTGATCTGCTCCGGACACTGAAAGTCTCAAGAGGTTGGTGTTGCGGTTGCCCCGGATGATATGTACAAATGCAAAACCGACATTCCGCGTTCATCGGTACCTACTGTGCCTTGCGTGGTTCACATTGCGAGAAAAAACGATGCCGTCAGTGCTGCCGGTTAGGCCCAAAAGGGCACTCATCGTGGTTCTTCTGCTTGGTGCGCCGACGACTTCCATATTTACAGAGTTTCCTCTGCTGGGGTTGTGGCGGCATCACCTAGCGCTAGACATGCTGCAAACTATCCGACGCGGGC